AAAATGATCATTAAAGAACTAATACACTCATAACTCGAGCCAACACCTCAGGAGTGTGACTGTAACTCATCGACACAATAGTCATGACTCGGGACTACTGAGTAGAGTCATAGACGATCCTTTTTTATTTCGATCGTAATTTGGATAGAGCTGGTTGGAATATGTTGGCTTTGGCGTGGTCTTCGGTTAAAGAAAAGGCGTCCGTCTACCATGCCTGCACGACGTTATGAAGATCAATGCCTTTCCATGCCTTTGCTCTTATTTGAATGATGAGACGTGGCAAAATATATTTGATATATTATCATGTGCTCCACGACGCATAAGATTGCTCTCTATTTCTAAAGACCTTTTTGCCCAAAATTCGAAACAAACAAACAAAGAATTATGCTTACCATCTCCATCGGCGAGGGGCGGAGAAAATCCGGCCATTACATCGCTTAAAAACCCAATTAAATAAAATACCCCATCACAAAAAAATTACGGACGTAAAAAGGAGACAATTTTATTGGCAAAATTAAAAGATATATGAATTTGAATATTTTAGATCTAAAAAATAAAAAAATGAATTTTAGTTTGAAATAGCTGCTTAGGAATGGTTTTTGTGGTTTAATTTGAATTTAAGAGGTTTTGAAAGTGTGTACATGTGTTTTTTTGGTGAAAAAAAGAAAAATATGGATTTTTGGTAGTAACCGGTTAAAATTACCGAAAAATTAAAAGACTCCGGCGAGCAACAGACAAGATGCAGTTTGGTCCTTGAACTTCCAGATACTCTAGTTTTACATAGTTATCAGTTTGGCACTTAAACTTTCAATTACTTTTTATAACCCCCTAATCCAAATTTTTACGTTCGCAAAGTAAAATTTATTGCCTTTTGTGCCATTTTAATGCTGATTTCTTAAGATATAGGTTGATTAGAAGTGTTTTTTTTTTTATGAAGTTTAGGTGGCTGTTTAAGATGTTAAGTTTCCATCATTTTGTGAATATAAAAATTGTTTAGGTTTTACAGTGATTCGGAAATGATTTGAGTTGAATTTTTGTTGATTTTCTGATATGACATAGATTTTTTTATTTTAAAATTATATCTCTATTTTTATATTTTTATAATATCATTATCAATTTATTAGATTTTCTTTTATTTGTAGTTTCCTTTTAAAAACGAATTTGTTTGATGATTTTAATTTTTTAATTTGGTTATATTTTATGGATATGTTATTTATTTATTTATTTTTATATATAGGTTGGTTTGAAGTGTTTTTTTAATAAAAAAATTAGGTGATTTTAATTTTCAAATTGCCACACTAGTTTCTTGATTATGAAATTTGGTTTTAAAACCAATCTTAAAAGCTATGATATAGTTTCTAGATTGTGAAATTTGGTATAAAATCAATTTTAAATGCGCTGATATAGTTATCAATATCTATTTAATTCAAATTGATTATTAATAATAATATTCATTTCCCTAAACCTCCCAAACTCAAATTAAATATCTTAGAACATTCTTAAACAACTATTTTAGCTTAAAATTTAATCTTTCTTTTTAGATCTAAAATCGTCAATTTTATACATCTCCTAATTTTGCTATTGAAATTATCTAATTTTGATGTTTATAAATTTATTGTGATGAGATTTTTTATTTAATTGCATTTTTTACCAATATAATGATCGGCCTGATTTTCTCCTGTAGCTGGTAAAAACCGGTGCTAGCATAATTTTTTTCCCCTTTTGGAATGAAGGGTAAAAAGATAATTGGAATTAGAGAGCATAGTGGTGTGTGTGGTGGAGCACATGATAATATAAACCTTGCAGACCGTAATTTTTGTTGGCAAGAAGGTAATTAGAATTAAAAAGCATATTTGTGTGTGGTAGAACAAATAATAATATAAACCATATAGACCCTTCGAATTTATTTTGCGGCATATGGTTCAAATAGGGGCAAAGGCGATCACCCCAGCATAGTACAGGCATTGTCGAATTTTCCTAAGAAAAGGGACCACATTGCATTCTTTCTACAAAAATATACAAAACGTCATTCCCGTTTCATCGTCTAGCTAGCTGGCACTTCCCTTTCAATTCAAAACCACACAATTTCTTTAATCATTTTTTCCGAACACAAACATGGAAGATTGAAGGTTGATGTAAATGTAAAGTACATGGTTTGCTCCAAATGATTAATAAAAAATCAAACAAGTAATGAACTGGAAGATGAATCATATGCATATGCATATGCATGCATGATGTATGTATATTTTAAGTGAGCGGATGGTAATTAACTAACATATATAATGGATCGTCCTACCATATATCATCCGATAAGTATACATGTAAAAGAGCAAACTGCCAGCAAAAGAACAAGAGCAAAATACATTATGTAAGCGTAAGCATAACTGGTAAGACCCACAATATTGGTTCATTGTTTTTGTAATCGTTGTAGAGTCCAAATCTCGAGTTCGCATTAAACATCTATATGTGTATTATTTTCCTTTGATCAGACTTTATACCAAATCCATATATATTGAATAATATATTAATTAGAGAGCTAATTAAAACTCAGTCTTCGATCTGCTTTATTTATTTTTTTGACCACTTAAGCTGAAGAGCTTGTATTGTACTGTAAAAATGAAATTATTATTATTCAGGTTTCATATGGTGCAGAGCTTTGGTAGTAGTACTAGAGCTTATCACCCAATAAAATCTGAAACATTATAGAACAGATTCGAGTTTGCAAGTGACCTTTGTAATTATAAATATATGAAAATTAAATACGAGGTTCGCCATTATAGTTAATTTGCTGGTTAACTTAATTATTTCCCAGGTTTCAACTTTGCTAACATGAGCAACAAAGTTTTCAAACTAGCTAGCATTTTCCTTCTTCATATTGATCAACAAGTACTGCTTTGTTTATATTAAAGAAGTGCAAAAGTCTAATTAGGCTTCTACAAGGGAGGACAATTCAACGGCAAATTGGAAAACTTTAAAGAGCAAAAGAAGAAAAATGATATATATGCAGCCCTAAAAAGCATAAACTGGGTCGAGTCAGTTCCACTCATGACTCAATGAAAACCCTAACATAAGGCAACAATAATGCCATGTGAGAACCAGGTGGGTGTCGTGACACACAAGTTCAGCCCATTTCTCTTGAAATCATGGAGCTAATCAATCATGTATGTATTTATATATGAAGATCACATGGAGAATAGGAGATGTTATATTTATTTAATGGTATCTAAGATTTGCTATTCCTATTATTATCTTGGTAATCCCTGCCGACATAGTAGAGCGGCCCTATACCATATAAATTAAAATATACTCTTTTCATGTTAAAAAAAAAAAATTAGCTGTATGCAGAAGGGGGGCCTGGATGTTCTATTTTCATAAGCAATGTTTCTGGTGGAAGATGGAAGGAGTAACGTTAAAGCAATTTAAAGTAGCCTGTGAAGGGACCGAACTCTGCAACCGATTGAGTTGCTAATAAAAGCATTTTCATTTAATTTCTTTCTTAATTCTTTTTCGAGAGTGCTTATAAAACAATTTGAAGAAAAAGGGACAACCATTCACGGTGCTAATCTGTAGTAGCAAGTGGCTTGTTTCATAGTGTTAATAGTCAGGGTATCCTCGCCCGTAAAACATTGACAAATCAAGTGAAATAATGTCATTTTGGGTTGTTTACTCAACTTTTTTCTTCTTTCAAGACTCGCAAAAAGTTTTCCATAACTCAAACTAGATCGGGTATTTCGGGGTAAAATGTGGTAACTCGAGTAATCCGTACCTTTTCAATCCATTGCCTATGTAGAGGTAGAATTAGATCCTAAAGCTATAATTAAGTTAATTTACAATCATCTATGTACCAATTTTGATAATAATCATCTAATTAGATTCATTCAGTTATTAATCTAATTCGTAAGTTATTAATGAGCTTTGCATTTTAGGCTTTTAATATTTATTACTTTTATTTTTTTAAATAAAAAAATAAACAAAGATAATATGGGTATCCAAAATTTGTGGATCTTAACTGAAATACCTATTATTGAAATATTAAATTTTTTTTTTTACTCAACTATGGTCAGATCATTCAGATATATTCCTACATATTCCTATCTCAGAATACCTTTTGTATCTTATGAATTCTTTTCCAATCATGTTTTAGAAAAGTAATCTCCGATCAAATATATTCACAACATTTTTTTTATTGTACTTTTGAACTCAAATAATAAATTCAATGACACGCTATTCGTTATATGAACCAACATCTTAATGGTTCTGAAAGTGACTTATTATAAATACAGTTTATATCCACAACTACCTACAAGGAAAACGTTGAACATTGGGATTTTGACTATAAAACAAGCAAATACTAAAAATTAATATAGTATTATTATGTTTGCCTTGAGATAATAATCTTAGCCTCATCTTGAATCGAAATATCAAGGAAGCAACCAAATCTCCCACCAAACCCAATTATATATCACCAATATTAACATTTACAGTTCTTTCAAATTGAAATTATTATGACATAATATTCCACTTTCTCAAAAAAAATATAATAAAATAATCATTGTATAATATTCCACTAAACGTCACTTAATGTCCAAGTGGTCCCACGACGACTAAGACAACAATTAATTAGGAAAATGACTCAGTCACCCAGTCCCTATAATTTTAATTCTTCTTCTTCTAGTACTTAACTTCCCGATTAAAAAGTCAGTCTTTGCCGGCACCTGAAGGACTCCAAAATTAACAGTAAATCGTTTTCACATTTTACAGCAGTAACAAAGAAGTCTAATGCCAGAAATTTAAAAGAGAGAGAGAGAGAGAGAGACGGAGAGAGAGAAGCACGCGGTTTCAAAATAAAAACTCTTAAAAAAATCCAAGCGCGCACGCTAGAGAGACCACAACTTTTGAATGTTTTCTTCATCTTCATTCCCTTCTTTATCTACTTCTTTTATAATTTTTCATTTTCCTTTACAATTCAATACAGCTCGTGTTCGGGTGCTGTTGTTCTCATGGAGATCAAGAACTGGAAATTCAGTCGACTTGGAGTTTTAATCCTGTTTTTGCTATATCGAAACTTGATTCTCGGCTTTTCGCTTAACGATGAAGGTAAGTAAGTAGGTTTATGCTTGTGTTGTTCTTGGCTAATTTCTAGAGAAAACGGTGGAACAAGTGAGAAAAAGAGCGGTTGTGTTTGTTTGGATGATGATCATGCAGGCATGGCGTTGTTGAAGTTGAGAGAGAGGATTGTGAGTGATCCATATGATGCGTTGAAGACATGGAAAATGGATTTTGGAGTGATTGATCCCTGTTTCTGGTTTGGTGTTGAGTGCTCTCATGATGGCAAAGTTGTAGCTTTGTAAGTTCTCTCTCTCTCTCTGTTTTTATTTTATTTTATTCTTATCTTGTTTTTTGAAGAGCTTTTGACTTCTCTGTTATTTTCTTGTTGGCTTCTGAGAAAATTCAGGGGAATGAAGGAATTTGAAAGAAGTTAGAAACTCGAGACTTACTAATTTAGTAATTTCCTTTTTTTGAGACTTCAAGGTTAATTAAAATTCTGGATATTAAAATTTGTAAATTGTTAACTTTGCTATTATTAGCTATGTAATTAATCAAGTAATTCAATGATGAGGAACGTGCATCAATATTTCAAAAGTCAATCTCATTCTGTTGTAGTGGTTGCTTAGATGTTTCAAGAAGTGGTGTATTGATTTATATCTGTTTAAGTGGTTTATTGCACTCTTTTTGAAAAAAATTTCTTAGAATCAAGGAATTCTCTTTATTTTATTTGTGCTACTGATGCTTGATGTGCTGTAATAATACTTAGAGGTTCGAAGAATTACAAAGACCAACAACTGGTTGACAGGGATAGCTTTCTTTACTTGTTTGAAAATTTGAAAATTTAGCATCTCTGATCCATTTCTAAGTTAAATACGAGGACTTTCCATTTCATTCTCTTTTGACAGTCCAGACGCAAAGATAACTATTTCCTGCTCTATTTACATAATAATGTTCTCTTGGAGCAGCTATTGTTAGTTTTCTATCAAGGAAGCAAGCTTTGATCGCACATGGCCATTCAATCAATAGGATTATTGATTTTTTTTTCCCCTAAAGATGAGTTTTTTGTTATATATCGTGCAGGAACTTGAAAGATCTTTGCCTTGAAGGAACACTAGCACCTGAAATCACCAACCTTTTCCACTTAAAGTCTATGTGAGTATTCATTAGGTGACTGATATTTGGAGCCCTTTTATTTTATGTTATACATTTTCACCTTTGCATTGTCTCTTAATGTTTAATTGCAGTATTTTACGCAACAACTCATTTACTGGCATCATTCCCGAAAGGATCGGAGAGTTGGAGTTGGAAGTGCTAGATTTTGGGTACAATAACTTCAGTGGACCACTTCCACCTGATCTTGGCAGTAATCTCTCCCTGTCAATCCTGTGAGTGTCGAACAAGTTTTATGGTTGTCAAGTTTAGCTTCTGCTACTGTCAGTATCAGTAACCTTTTTTCGACCTATATTTAGTCTGCTGGACAGCAATGAGCAACTCAGCTGCTTATCACCTGAAATTCAACATCTGGAAATGCTTTCTGAATTGCGAGTGGACGAGAACCAGTTATCTAATGCAGCTAAAGTTTCATCCTGCAACAAAAGATCCATTACATGGTATGTTACTGTTATCAACTTGATGATATTTTCTTGCAGGTTGTATTACTCTGGTTGTCCTAGGTAAATTCCAGGATATTGGTCCTATTGAGATTCATAAATGGGCTCTTTAGGCCATGGGATGAAATTCCTCTCTTGTCTATGACATTGAAGGGACCTCCAAGTTGTCATAGTACCTTTTGACTTTTTCTTGATTCTAAAACTTCTTTGTACATAATATTTTAATTGCTCCATGCTATTATAATAAAATGCATTTTTTTTTTCAATTTTTGATAGGAATCTCGCTCGTACAGAAAATGCAGTTCACAGACGACAGCTGCAAAGCAACCGCGTGCGTTTGACACCACCATCTCCACAATTTGCAACAGCAACACCAACTGTGACTTTTCCTCCTCGTCCTCCTCCTATGACCTCCCCACCAACACCTCCAAATGAGCCAACTGCACCACCTACAAGTGAGCCTACTGCACCACCTATAAGTAAGCCATTTGGAACTTCCTCTTCTCCAAATGGATCTACTTCACCTTTTTCAGCTCCAGCTCCTTCTGCCTCAAATGTTCCCAGAACACCATTTGGATCTTCCCGATCAAATAAACATCATGTTGCAATCATAGCTGGAGCTATAGGGGGCACCTTTGTTTTTCTTGTTTCAATCATCAGTATATATATCTGTAAAATCAATAAGGCTGTTGTCAAACCTTGGGCCACGGGATTGAGTGGACAGCTTCAGAAAGCATTTGTAACTGGTAAGTCTTTCTTCTTGGTAAAATAATTAAGAAGTATTTATTAGGACTCCATTTCCAAATTGCAAAGAAGTATTTCTAGCTACGGCATCTGTTCAATTAATATATCATCTGAAAACCTGCCTCGGATAATCTGAAATAATGATGTTGGATAGGACTTCGTTGAGTTAATTTGGTTAATCCTTTGATGCTTTTGTGATAATTACCATCGATATTTTGTAATAGTTATATTAGATGTCGAAGCCTTGATCACCTACATGGGCAACTAGAGACAGCGGGTCCTCATTCTTTTGTTTCTCTATTTCCTTTCCTCATCCCCTTAAGTGTTGCATGTTTCCATGTTCATGTTTTAACCTTGTCTTTTTACTAACATGATTCAGATTTGCATTTCAGGTGTGCCAAAGCTTAAGAGATCTGAGCTTGAAGCGGGTTGTGAAGATTTTAGTAATGTGATTGGTTCTTCACCGATCGGCACTCTATACAAAGGGACATTGTCCAGTGGAATTGAAATAGCTGTGCTAGCTGTGGCCTCTGTTGCAATAACATCTGGCAAGGATTGGTCAAAGAACCTAGAAGTTCAGTTTAGGCAGAAGGTAATGTATGAGTAACTGCCATTGAACTGTATATGCTTATGGCATGATTTCGCATTTCCTAATCCTATCACATTTTATGCTTCAGATCGAGACATTATCAAAAGTGAACCACAAAAATTTTGTTAACCTTATCGGGTACTGTGAGGAGGAGGAGCCTTTCACAAGAATGATGGTATTCGAATATGCTCCAAATGGGACACTCTTCGAGCATTTACACAGTAAGTGAGAAAATTTTGTTTTTGTCATCTTTATTGCAGAGTTGACTGCTTTCCATTTGTTGTTGAGATTCGTCAAGTTAAAGCATAGAGTTAATCATTCTAAATCAATATGTAGAGTTGATGGAAATAAATTGTTAAGTATATCCTTGAAACAAAAGGTGTTTACAACTTTTGCCTGATTAATTTTCCTGTTAAATCTATCGTACTTTCAGTTTGACCCATTCTGATTAGTGTGAATAATGCTTTGATTTTCTTATATCCGCCTTCAATCCTGAATTGAATCTTCATATGCAAATGACGCAATAACCTCCTATCTTGAGAAGATAGAGAGTGCAAAGAAAATGAATTTTGATTATTGATTAAACAGAGGGCAACTTTAGGGGTTTCTTTTTCCCATTTATGGTTTTCATCACTTAGTGAATAAGAGATTGAGTTTGCTGCACTGTTAGGCTTTGGAAGATTTAGGCACTTGGGATCTTGAGTTGGCCACCGGGTCAGGCATTTGAAAATTATAATCTATATTGAGTTCTTGGCCCTAGAAAAAGAAAACTCTCTCTTTCTCTTTGTCTTTCCATTTTGCGTTTAGTTTTGTTTTTGATTATAAACCTCATTATTAAGTTTCATCGTGCAGTTAAAGAATCTGAACACTTAGACTGGGGAATGCGGCTGAGAATCGCAATGGGCATGGCTTACTGCCTTGAGCATATGCACCAGCTGAATCCACCAGTAGCTCACAACAACCTGAGCTCTTCATTCATCTCTTTAACAGAGGACTACGCAGCCAAAATCGCAGATTTCAATTTCTCAAATGACATAGTTGCAACTGAGATGGAACTATCTAGCAAGAAGCTCCCAGATATGCCGTTGGCTTGCCTGGAAAGTAATGTTTACAATTTTGGTGTCTTGTTATTTGAAATGGTTACTGGTAGGCTTCCATATTCAGTGGACAATGTCTCACTTGAAGACTGGGCATCAGACTATTTGAGAGGGTACCAACCCCTTAGGGAAAAGGTGGATCCAACTCTGGACTCCTTCGAAGAGGAGAAGCTGGAGAGAATTGGTGAACTAGTAAAATCTTGCGTGCATCGGGATCCAAAACGAAGACCGACAATGAGAGAAGTCACTGCAAGATTAAGAGAGATAACTACATTAACACCAGATGCAGCAATCCCAAAACTTTCTCCTCTTTGGTGGGCAGAGCTTGAAATTTTGTCCACAGAAGCTAGCTAAAATACGAACAGACTGTAAGTATGAGCTCAAAATTTTTAACGGTTTGTTAGTTACGGAGGCAAAGAACCAGTTGCCCGTAGGTTGTCCCACTTTAGGTAAGGGAGATCAGCTGCTTGTATATAACTGAGTGGTGCACCTGTGTGTCTCTGTTTTTTTTTTTTTCGGTTGGTTTGGTTTTTTTTTTTTTTCGGTTGGAAATTGGCTGGGAAATGAGCCATAGAAGCACATCCACACGAAAATTTGTTGATATTCCAGTTGTTCTTTCCTCGTTCTGCTGCTTCTCTCACTTTGACTTGTTCAATTGTGATGGTGATGGACTTCAACAAAAGATAGAGGCATAGAACAAGACGTGCCAACTTAATTCTTTTTTTTTTTTAAGCACAGGATTAGTATTCAAAGTTATATACTGTGATTTGTGGTGACCCTGCATCCGATTTCAAGATGTATCAGCTGCCAAAATAAAATGTAAAGGTCAACTATAAAGCACAAGATCCAGGAAAGTTCAGCGATTGCCCCTGTAACTCTGTAAGCCCCCAATTGGGGCTGGGATACAGCTCAACACGGATTCTGATTATTTTTTGAAAATGACAAGGAAAGAATTTTCTCTTTCAACTTTTTTTTTTTTTTTTTTTGGGTTTTATACAAGTTGAAAGGACTGAAATCCATTTAGGTGACCAAAGGGCAAGGAAGACTACTTGTCTAATCTCAAAAGTACTTTGCAGGAAAAAAAAGGTTAATCATAGATTCTAAGACCTATTAAAATGCAAAAACAAGTCCACAGCTAGGATATATGTTCATTTTCAGCTTTCTCAAAATGCATTAAAAAAAACAGAAACGAGAAAGAGGAGGATATTCGTCATTCTAGAATTACAAATGTATTAAACATCTTTATGGATCGCACGTTCTATAGCACAACCATAAACAGCAGGCCTAAATCCACAGCCCTCTGAACATATTTTATAGAAGGGTAAAGTTAAAAAAATGCCTATAGGTAGCCTTAATTTTTCACCTGAACAATTTTTTTGGATTTATTTTATCCTTAAATTTTCAGAAATTCTCAATTAAAATTTTTTATTCATTTTCTTTTTTTAAGATTTTCCATTCACAGTTTTTTTTTTTTTTACTATTTTATTTTGTCATTTGGTAAGAAACTTAATGTTTTTTTAAGGTGATTCTATTACGACTTTTTAATTGATTTTAATAGAGAAATCAAGGTGATTTTTAGATATATAATAGTTTGAGGATATATTGAAGATTTTTTTTTTCTAGAATAAATTTATAATTTTTTAAAAATGAGCAAGGTGTATGAATCTTTAACAATCGTTGTGTTGGACTCTTTTTTTCCAAGTACATCTCAAGTTCTATCCATTCTTTGTAACAGGAAAAAAGAAAAAAAATGAGCAAGGTGTATGAATCTTAAGCAATCGTTGTGTTGGATTTTTTTTCCCCCTCTTCCTCAAGTTCTATCCATTCTTTGTAACGCGGGGGGGGGGGGGGGAGGGGGGGGGGTGTTGGGGGGAAGAAAAGAAAAGAAAAAACCATCATTGTGTTTGTGGGACGCATGCCAGCATTCAACTATTCTCACCAACGAATCTTGCATTCCGTTTTTTAAAAACCTGCAGCCATCTTCATGCTCTTCAGACACAAAGACGACGTCGCATAAATCTCTCACGCGACAGAAAAAATGTTAAGGCGTATTTCTGTCTTCATTAGTCAACGAAAGAGGAAGGTGGCCTTCACGTTAATGTAAACTTTAGAGGAAGTTAGTTGTAGTTGACATGCTGGAACGGAGTACTCTTCACGTCAATCAAAACCTTCAAACACCAATCATTGTCATGGCCCAACAAATTCCCAAATGCTTATAAATACCTATTCCAATCTACCTTCACACAAATAGAAATCGCTTTTGCTCTCTGCTTAGTTTCAAATAAGCTCTGCAATAACCTCCACAAGAATATGGCAAGCAACCAGCTCACAATTGTCATCTGCTCTCTCATGCTGCTCCCATTAGCCTTCACTTCAACAGCCGCCTATAATGAAACTGCTCCAACCAAGACGGTAGATAAGAAAGTCGATGTGGTTGTTGAAGGCATGGTCTATTGCCAAAGTTGTAAATCTTATGGATCTTGGTCTTTGACAGGCGCTAAACCAATCCCTTCCGCTAAAGTGAGTGTCATTTGCAAAAATTCTAAGAAACAAGTCACTTTCTACAAGGCATATGAAACTAATGCGTATGGTTACTTCTATGCACAACTTGATGGCTTCAAGATGAGCAATAATATTTTGGACCATCCCATCCATGGTTGCCATGTGAAGCTTGTTTCATCTCCTCTTACAAACTGCAGCCTTCTCTCCAACGTTAACTATGGACTTTATGGTGCTGCACTTCGATTTAAGAACAAGGTGTTGCGAGGACCTCGTTATAAAGCTGTGATCTATACTGCAGCCCCCTTGGCTTTCCGTCCAGCTCAATGCACTCCGGAATCTCATGTCTGATATGAAGGCCCTGCCACTTGTCTTTTAGTTCGTAATCAATCTGCATTTTCGTTTGATTCTTGTTTTGTTTCGTCTTCTGTTGATTTTAACTGTGTCATCCAGGAAAAGTAGTAATCTGTTCTATTTCTTCAACGAATTGAATTTCCTTGCATGAAGTGTTACATGTTGACTATTACACTATTGTTGTTTAGTTATTTGTTTTGATGTATGAGATTGATTATACTTGATATCCTGGCTATTTGAGAGGGTTGAAAAAAATAGTGGATGTGTCTTTTGAAATTTTGCAAGAATGAAACACAAATATCGATGTTAGTGGTGTTGGAAGTGTCCCTACATGGCCATTCTAATAACTAAGTCAGTTTTTTAAGCATACTGTATAGAAATTAGAAAGAGTGAGCTAGTTTTCTAAAAATATATATCTATGTTTATGTGATGGAAGTTGTTGAACTTGTTTTTTTTATGAGAAAGTGAATCCATTTAAATAGTAGAAAATATAAGGTATAAGACATTCCCTTAATTAGTGTTGATTAGGTGGTTATGAGGCGACAAGAAAGAGAGCCCATAATTACGAGAAGGTTGGTGGTGGGCTTTGTGGAGAGCCCAAATTTCATACATTATTAGTTGTCCTTCTATCTTAAAGTAAGACTCATTCGATTTGAGATAAATGATCTTTTAGTATGATGTAATTTAAGTGAATTGGAGCTTTAGAGATACGACTCGAATTCCTTAAGGATCATGGTTGCATGTTCTCGAACGGATTTGATTCAAGAGAAATGGACTCCCGTAAAAGAAAGTTTCTAAAGAAACGTATTCCTAGAGGAATATAGAGTTTTGAAGCAATGGAGTCCCGGAAGAGCGAGAATCCTTGAGGAAGGATGGAGATTCTCAAAGGAATATTACCCTAAACTCCTAAAAGAACGTGATTGTATGCTCTTGAAAAAATTGTATTCCCGGAGAAATGTTATAGTAATTTCTCGAAAGAACATGACTATATGCTCCCAAAGAAACTTCATTCCCGGAGGAATGTTGTCGTAAGTTCTTGAAAGGATGAGTTGTAGGTTCCTAGAGGAATATAGTTATATGCTTCTAGAGGAATTGTATTTTTGGAGGAATATTATCATAGGTTTTTGAAAGAATATGGTTGTATGCTCCTAGAGGAATTTTGTCATAAGTTCTTAGAAAAAAATATGGTTGAAGGTTCTCGAATGAGTTGTATTCTTAGAGAAATATTACCTTTAGTTCTTGTTAGAATGTGGTTGTAGGTTTTCGATGGAATGTTGTTGTAACTCCTAAAGGAATGAACTTTTTAGAGAAAAGTGGGATCCCTAAAAAGAAATAGATCCCTAAAGGAGTGAACTTTTTAGAGAGGAGTGGGATCTTTAAGGAGGCATTGATCCTTAATGAGGAATAGACTTTTTAGGGTGTATGGTAATCCCAAATGGAGGGATTAAACCTCTAAGGATGGATGGTCCCTTGGAGAGCAGAGTAATCCCGGATGGAGGGATGAAATCCTTGGTGAGGGATAGAATCTCAAAGAACGGACTCATTAAAGAGGATTCATGGTGATTTTAGACTCGGAAAGGTGTGCCTTTATACCTAGACAAGGTGAAACCATAATCTTTCCAAGTCTTTCCTTTTGCAAGCTCTAAGCTTCATCCCCGAAGGAATAGATGTCATCTATTTTCAAAGGATGTTTAGGGTGCTCTTAGACCAAGATAAGGTATGTCTTTATATCTAGGTAAGGTATATACCCCAATCATCGAAATCTAGACCTTTAAAAGACATGGGGTTCCTTGGAAAATATCCAAGCCTTTTGAGAATTCTTATGCGATCCATATAAAAATTGACTCTCTTTTGATTCATATGGTGTCGAAGTGTTAAATATGAATGGATAGTCATAAAATATATCTTGTTCTATGCATAGAAGTTGATGCTCACAACTTATCAATTTTGGTGATTGAATTGAAGATGTGTTTCCTCATTAGTGATGAAATAAAAATATAATAGACAAATAAGGAATTGATTTATACAACAAAATTTAATTTAAGGACTAAAGCAGAAAAAACAAAAGCTAAAGGAAGTGTGTGTGTCAAGCGTAAGCATATGAGATAGCATTCCTCACATACTCGTAGCATTGATAAGGCATCCGATGGTGGATTAAGGCAATACCTATGGTGTTGGATTTGTCTTAGTAGAAAGAATCTAGCTCCTCGAAGTGACGGTGATAGAGCTTTAATGGACATTTGGCTAACCAGCTTTTCTCTCTCTTTTCTTTTTATTTCTAGATCTTGAGTCCATTTTTAGGCCTTTTTTTTTCTTTTGCTAACCGAGTTAGCTTTGCTTGGGTTGACTATTTGGGTTTGTCTCGGATGGTAAACATTAATTGATCATGCTCGCCCAAATTTGCTCAATATACCTTTTTTTTGTTCGACTAGGTTTGTTTAACTTTATGGTGGACAATGAATGTAGCTAGATATTTCGTTCAACCTACATAGTTAGTTGAT